AATACCCTTACTTTACACCACATCATTACTTTTACACCAAAAAGCAAGGGCAAAAATATCATTACACTACTTTTAACTACCCATTATAATTAAAATATTATTATTTCTTAAACACCGCGCCAAAAGTAATTGTATACTTTATGAGTGGACTATAATATAAATAGGCGATGATGTAATATTTTGAATGTAAAATAATTATTGGATATGGTGGTTTTGAAGGAAAATAAAAAATTGATAGTAAAAATCTTCACTAAAATTTACAAAAAAAAACAAAATTTAATTTATTTAGAAACAACTGCTTGTCCATGCTCTTAAAATTAGATGGGCTCAAGGATTGACAAAGGTTTTTTGGGCTCCTTGTAGCCCAACTATTAGGCCCAAAAGGTACCTCCGCGTCCACTCTTAACCTTTATTTTTGTAAAAAAATCAATTTTGGTTTCAATATAACAAAAATTTATCAATTTTGGTCTCAATTTAAAAAAACACATCAAATTTAGTCTCATTATAAACAATTTCAATCAATTTTGGTCATATTATAAATAATTTCCATCAATTTTGATTTCATTGTTAAAAAATTAACAAAAATTGCTGACGTGGACATGATAGAAGTGATGTGACGGCTGACTTGGAAACTACACAATCATGTACAATTATGCACGGCCATGTACAATTATACACAGTCATGTTATACATGACCATATTGTTACATGACCATGTATAATTCTACACGGCCGTGTACCTTTCTATTTTGGTCTAAAATTTTATTTTTTTGTTATATATTTTTAAATTTTTTTAAAATTTAGAATAGTTGATACAGTTAAAATGAAAAAAATCAATAATAATCATAATATAATCAAAATGTATCAATTTTAGTTCAAATATAAACATTTATCGTGTATATTCTTTTGAAAGATTTTGTCTAAAATTCTATTATTTACCAGAAAAAATTCTCTTACAAACATCCAATTATTGTATTGAAATAATAAATTAATTTTTAATACTACTATAATATATAAAATTAAAAAATAGTTATGTAATTGGATGTTTGTAAGAAGAATTATTATTTTATTTATTTTTTTTTACTGAGTAATAGAATTTTAGACAAAACTTTTTCAAAAGAATATATCTTATAAATTTTCATATTTGAATTAAATTGATAAATTCGAATACTATTATGATTACTATTTATTTTGACCATTTTAACTATATCAACTATTTTAAATTCAAAATAATTTTTTTTAAAAAAACAATATAACAAAAAAATAAAATTTTAGACTAAAACAAAAATGTATACGGACGTGTAAAATTATATATGGCCGTGTAACAACATGATCATGTATAATTATACACTGAAATATACATGACCATGTTGTTATATGGCCGTGTATAATTATACATGACCGTATAACAAGATGACCATGTATAATTATACACTGCAATCAATATACATGGCCGTGTAACAATATGACCGTGTATACTTGTACATGGCCGTGTAGTTTACAGGTCAACTGCCACGTCACCTCCGTTATTTTCACGTCAGCAATTTTCATTAAATTTTTAACGATGAGACTAAAATTGATTGAAATTATTTATAATGAGACCAAAATTGATTGAAATTATTTATAATAGAACTAAAATTGATAAATTTTTTTATATTGAGATCAAAATTGATAAATTTTTTTTATATTTGAACCAAAATTAATTTTTTTCCCTTTTTTTTATAATGAAAATAGAGCTATTTTTTATTATGAATAATTTTAAATTTAAATTTAAATAATATTTAATAAGAATAAATAATATATTTTTATAAAAAATCATAGTAGAAGAATTGAGATAAAAGAATAAAAAATCACATTCGAAATTGATAATTCAGTTTTGTCCAATTGTGACCTGCATTTAGAGTTTCAACTCAAATAATATAACTATTCATAAAGAATAAATCAAATTTACAATAGAATTGTACTAAAAGTTATCTCAAGAACACACATTTTTTCATAAAATTGCCCCAATTTTGCCTATTTTTCTTTTTCTTTCACAAAGCTAATAATTACTTCAAGGATTCTCCCACTTAAATTATGCATCTCTATGATTCTCCACATAACTATATATAAACAAATTCTTAACTTTACCAATATAATCGACACACAAGATAAGGATATCAAATATGGAAAAAAGTCATTCAGAATAAATCTATATATTGATTCCACTTTATTCTCTCAATCAAATCCCCTAAAATCTACTAATTTAATTTAATTAAATTCTCTAAAATCGATGGTTCTTTTTGGAATATGTTTGATTGAACAACTTGGGCCTCAACAAATCGATAACTTGTTTCATATTAAATGGGTTCCAACTGTTCACCAGAATCCATACGTTGCATCAATCAAAATTCATTTCTCAACAATCTCCCTCTTTTTTATTAATATTTACTGACCCAAGTAGAGACGATCAACAATCCTACAGAAAGTCTAAAATTTAACAGATTTTAAAACTGAACTCTCCTCCTCGACCAACAAAACATATACAAGTACTACCTCAAGACAACAATTCTTATCTCCAAGATCAACAGACAACCATCATCCTTCTCCACATTTGGGAAACATCAAACAAAAATTTTTTTATCCGTTGATGGAGGCTAAAGGTTGTTCCTTCTTCTTTTGACAGTCCGTTCAGAAATATAAAGAACTTACTTTAATCCATGTAACTCATATTAGACATTATAATCAACAACAAGTAATGCACACAAGCAAACAATTCATCCAATCCGCTAAATCTGTGGGAGATAGTCAAGCCAAAATAGCTTGAATCGATATTTAACGCCGACTAGAGCTCGGGGAAGGAAAGAAATGTTTTCCCATCTCTTTTACCAAATTATTTGTTGTTGATCCGAAAAACTTCTAGGTGTATATGTCTTCAAATCCAAATTATTTATTTTTCATACCGGTTATTGCATATTTGTCATTCAGAACTTTTTCCACTTTCTTTGGCTCCATCTTTGAAGTATTACATTTCTGTCTATTGCATTAATCAAAATTCTTTGTAATTTTTCGGTTGCAGGCCCATCCTTATGTTTAGATTTTATTTCAATATCATTTGATGATAATTCATCAATGGCTTGTATGGCATCAATAACATTATCTCTTTTGATTTTAACATATCTTCATTTGATTTTTCCATAGATTGTGCAATATTGTATAGATTTGATGACACTTTTGGTCTTCATTCACATCTGATTGGAGATAAAAATGGAAAATAAAAATATTGTTTCTATAATACTTAGGTGTGTTTGGTAAAGAGAAATAAAGTAAAAAAATAAAAATATTTTTATTTCTCTTATATCTTTGAGTAAGAGAAATCAAATTAAAAAAATGAATCATGTTTATTTTCGCTTGTTATTTTTTTTCTATGACCAGATAAATTTCTTTGATAAGAAGTGAATATTAATTTAGCATGTTTATTTTTTAAAATTTTCTATACTATATTTTTTATAAATTTTTTAAAATTATATTATTTCAATTTTACAAAACATCACATTTAATTTATTATTAAAATATTCAATTTTTATGATTTTTTTTAATATTACACTAAAATCTTATCTATAAAACATGGCATATAATTTATTATTCAAACAAAAAAGTCATTAAAAATAATTTTTCCACCTGTTAAAACTCTATCTTACCAGATTATTATTTATTCTTCATTTATTCATCTAGATCTTTTTTTTTTTTTTTACAATTTTCAACTTAATTTTTTATTTTACTAACCCAAATAATTAATTCTCATTTTTAGTTGGATTTTTCTTTCTACAATTCAATTCTCTAGTCTCGTACCTCCTTACATATGCGTAAGGATTTTAATTTGAAGATCGAGTTGCATGCATGGTTGGACCACATAAATGTGAAAATAGACTTAAATATGTGAATTCTATTAAAAGAGAGAGAGAGAGGAATATAGACGTATTACAAAACATATAGACATAATAATGTGATCAGTTGTAAGTTCATTGAAATAATTAAATATATATATATACATATATGTGTATATATATATATATGGAGATTGGGTGTGTTACGTGGTGTTTGTGAATGTGAGTTTGTGATTGTTACGTGGTGTTTGTGAATGTGAGTTTGTGATTGTTACGTGGTGTTTGTGAATGTTAAGTTTGAGAAATCAACTGTAGGATTACTGTGAGTTTGTGAATGTGCTAGAAATCTCGTCCTAAGTAACAAAACTGTACTGTAGACTAGTGTGCAGGGTTTGACCATGGTAAGTCTTTCCATACCTTTTGTCTTTCATGTATACGAGCACACGGGCGTGTATACTTATCTGCTTATATCTGTATTCTGCTAGTTCTATGGTTATGGGTCATTTACTTGTATTTTGCTAGTTCTATGGTTATGGGCCGCAGTCAATTGTCAACACACGGGCACGGCCGTATATACTTATCTGCTTATATCTGTTTCGGTTTTACGTAATTCTCGGACGATTTGTAATGTACTGCACACCACCGGACGGCCTACACGCATGACATATTTTTGTCATTCAAGCTTGTTAACTTTTTGTATTCTGCATACTTTTTCACGTCGGGTTACATCTTTTTTATTATATATCAAATGTAAGTTGCATTGAAGATATATTTCTTCAACTTGTTCTTCGGCACGTAACTGTAGGCTACTGCTAGAATTAATTTATTTTTTTTCCTTTATTTTTTTGTTAACTAAAAAAAGAAAATCAATAAAATAAAAACATCACACTTCATATTTATTAAGTTTTTCTATATTCAATATAATTTATTTTAATAATATAAATAATTTCATCACTCCAATCATTATCTATTAAATCACTATCCAACAAAACTCTCCAAAATCACACAAAATCTACTACACCAAAATAAGGCAAATTCCCAAAACTCCTAAAAAATTTAAATTCAAACCAATCACAAAGCCAGTCTTCCTAAAGAAACACACCCAGTGGACTGGCCTGTCCAGCTGCATATATGTATAATTCATTTGTTTATTAAAACTTGACGGAGTATCTCATCACTACTAGACTCGAGAAGTATGCAATTAGTATGCATTTAATATTATTAATTGGCCCAATAAAACAAGGGCAGGACAGGGCAGCTGACCAGAAATCGCTATAGCAGCTAGCAACACTTGCATTTTCAATACGTATGTATGTATGTAAGAAAAGCAGGATCCATGGAATGAAATTAGTTGAAGCTAGCTAGCAAGAGCGAGGGCATGGTATTAATTAATTAACTAATCAATCAACTACTACTACTACTACTACTGGTACTACCAGAAGAAGTGACTGAATAGCGACGCAGAAGGAGGTTGGTGATGACTATGAGGGCGATCTCCGCATGTACAGTGATGAATACAGCTGCTGTCATCAGCTCCCTGCAGCAGATCACATGAGCAGTGGTGGTCGTGCGATGGGGAGTGGGCGTGCCTGCCCTCGTAGGTAGTGATCACCATCCTCGGGTCATCCGCCAGTCTCTCCACCCGTTTCTTCACTCGGCACTTGTCTTGCGTGCACCGGTAATAGCTCCTGCACCACCACCCACCCACCCCATGCATGCATATCACCAACATATACATATAGATAGATAGATATGTGGTAGGCCATTGTTGACAAATGAAATTAATGTTCTAATTAATTTAATTAATTAAACCAAATGTACCTAGTACAATAAAAATTAAAGGGGTGGATCGGATGCCAAAGAAAAAGGAAAGCAAAACAAAAGGGGAACAACAAATCAAAAGCCATTCAATTCTAATTATGTATATGTATATACATGTTGCAATTGCAAACTGGCAATTGCTGGATTCATGATCAACACATGATGCCCTTTTCAGGCAACGTGGGGCTCTCTCTCAGGCATTTCCTACAGTGTGTGTGTGTGTGACAATATATATATAGATAAAGTTTGGAGCAATTTAATTCAATATAATTTAATTTGGTAAATTTTGGGGAATTCCTGTTCTTGTTTTAGGAAAAGAAAATAAAAAGAAAAGAGAATACTTGGGCTATAATCATTTGACAATGAAAAGCTAGATTTACTTTTCAACCTAAAGACAAATCATGAATTTGTATCTCTCTACGGATATATAGATATAGATTCCCATAATATGAAAATTCTGCAAAGAGGGAGGGAAAGGGAGAATTAATTGGCAATCATGACTCGTGTGTGTGTGTGTGTGTTTTTTCATAAAGCATATCTAGCTAGGGTTCGGTTTTGTGCAGGTTGGAAGGCAATCAGAAGACATTAAGTTACATTTACAGTGTGTGATCAAGGGCTTTTAATTAATTGATTACATTCTGAATCAGTACGTAATTACACTTCAACTTTTGCCTTTTTACACAATGGGTACGTACGCTTCTGTCTGTATTATTAACACTAATTGTTTCATGATCATGAGGCGTTGAGGCGAGTTCGTTTTTTTGAATTTCAATACATATATCCTCTCAACTCACCCTTAATTTATCACTGTAGTAACTCACCTTTAACAAGGAATTGGACAAGAGAAACTAGATAGAGATCATGTGAAAGGATTCACATGTCGTCTGAATATTCCAAAAAATAAATAAATTTGAAAAGGCATAGATTTAAATATATATATATATATGTGTGTGTGTGTGTGTATTCAATAAAGCTTGAAGTGAAGAAGACATGGATTGAGGAACTGGGAAAATATATATAATTAAGTAAAGAATGATAGGATATAGTAATAGTAATAGTAGCATCAAATATCAAACAGATGGATTGGTAGGTAGGTAGGTGGTTCGTACGTACCTGGGATGCTGGGTGTTCTTGACAACCTTCTGGCCATACTTCCTCCATTTGTACCCATCATCCAGCACATCCACGTCACTCATGGTTTTGAAGCAAAACCTGGGCTCTCTCACCTTTCTTCTTCCCTTAATCTTCTTCATCGTCTTCATCGCCGAAATCCCTAGGCGATGATCGACGACGTCACCCACGGCTCTCTTCATGCTCATGCACTCACTCAATTCTCCCCATGCCGCCCTAATTATTGATGAATGAATGAATAAATTAATTAATTAAACCATCAGCAATTAATTAATCCAATCCAAGGAAACACCTGCAGCTTCATGAGATATAGATACACGTTTATGTATGTGAAAGAGATAACTAATTTGAATACTGCTAGCGCTAGCTAGTAGTTGTAGCTAAGCTACTGCAGGTACCAACCAGCTGTAGTTTGAAGCTGATCTTTGCAAGTTGGAAAGAGTATTCCGGCCGGGTATTACTACCGATGATGATCCCGGGAAGTGATGAGGAGGAGGAGAGGTGAAATCTTCATGATGTTGCTTGGTAACGATGGACTGATCGGAGAGGTTTGTGAGGGGCGAAGAGTTCGAATCAGCTGCTGCAGCTGCAAGTGAAGCAATTAAATGATGATTTGGGGTGGGGGCGTTGGGATCAGAGGACAGTACTACAGTTTTGAGGGATTGGGATTGGGATTGCAGTATGGGAATGGAATTAGCAAAATTATTGGCGTGGAAAGAGAAAGGGAAGATCATCCCAATCTGTGAGGAGGAGGAGGAGGAGACCAATAAATCATCAGCCTCCTCCTGCTGCTGCTGCACCTCAAACAAACCCTGATTATTATTATTATTGTTAAGCATGGACGACGATTGGGATGCAGAAGCCATACTCTCTCTCTCTCTCTCTGTGCACCTTGTGGAAGAAAAACAAGCACACACACGATTAGCGGCTAGAAGGGGATGGATGGACGGATTTATTGTTTGGTTAGGACTTGGGATAAGATATATTGGGAGTGGGGTTGGGTATTCTCAGCTGGTTTAAATTGATGCGGGAAGTGACAGAATACCAGCAAGAGGTGAGCCAGGCCAGGCCAGACAACTATATATATATATATGTATGTATATTTGAGGGATATTGGTGTCCCTGCAGCAGCTAGCAGACTAGCTACCTCCCTTCATCGTTTCGCTCTATTCTATTCGTTTTATAATAAGCTAAGTATGTAGCTGCTTCAACAATCTAATTAGCCTTAAGTTAATTATATCAGCAGAATCAAAATAAAAACCCAGCCTGTATCATGATGAGCCCACACAAACGACTCGACTCGACTCTATGGGTGTGGTTGTGGCTGTGGCCTGTGCAGAAAGCAGCTGTCTGAAATGACGCTTAATTAGTCAATTGATTAATTTGTGCTCATATATATATATATTGTTTTATTTATATATTGCCTCTAATTCAAATGAAACACTAGTTAGTTAGTGTTGTTTTTCTTACTGTGCGCAATAAATTAATATAACCATTCGTAATTAATGTAAATTACATTAAAGAAATGCTGTTTGGCTTTCTTTGGCTTATTATTTCATCAATATATTATTATCCCTTCTAATGCTGCCTAATGTTTCAAGGCATTAATTAGTTTCACACAACTATATTAATTGAAGAGCGATATAGATAGATAGATAGATAGATATTTAACCAGTGAACAGTTCGTAGGTAGAGAATTAATTAGAAATAGTGGGTGTACTACTACTACTACAAAAACTACTGTAATGAGTAAAAGAGTTGTTGTAATAGAAAGCAAAAGTGCAAAACATTAAGATTGATCAGATGAACAGTGGGCAATGGACTTTCCATTTGGTGCATGTGTATATATATATATAAATGTTATGTATTGTATAAGTCAGTCGGTAGTGGGATATGGCACAGATGTCTGTACTCTGACCTCATTGCTGAGATATATATATATATATATACATACATACACTCATCCTTACAAAGGTCAATAAACACATGTCTAGGACAAGAAAATAAAAAACATAAATGGGAATGTTTCTTGTGTAGGACTTGTGAGCCTTGGTGTCAAAGTTATTCCTTTGCTTTGTTTGTTTCTGCAAATGGATTGTCGACTTTCTTATGCCCATCGCACAAAACCATAATATATATATGCACACATCACTAATTTCTCATTTTTAATTTCATCGACAGACACACACATATATATATATATATATACACGCGCATGTCTGTAGTTGCAATGACTGAGTATTAGAATTAGAGACTAAATACAAAATAGTAAATAGTTCTCTTACAATATTATTCTAGTATGTACTACACAATATTCCCTGTGGTTTAATAATGTCACTTGAACAGTACCATCAATATATATAACATCATATATAATAATTATTTCATTTAAAAAAAATATTTTTTCAATCTCACTTAATTCGTCATTTTTTTCTATTTTAGTTCGTTTCATATAGTTTGTTTTTTTTTTTTTTTAAAAAAAAATATAATTTTTTTAAAAGTTTATAATTTATATTAATTTTTTTTATCTTAATCTAAAATTATTTTATTAAATTATATTATAATTTATACTAATTTTTTTATTTTAATCTAAAATTATTTTATTAAATTATAATTATTTTTACTAATATACTTTTTAATTATTTACTAATTACACCATACATAGAACTCAGTACCTAAGCTAAAGTGAACAAATTAGCTTGAACGAGAAAGAATAGTAAAACTTGAGATACTTAAAGTAAACAAATCCTTTATAATTATCACTACAAGAAAAAATTATTTTTGTAATAAATTTTTTTTTTCTAAGTTTACTTTTTTACTTTACTAATGACATTAGAGACGATATTATGAATAAAATTAAGTTAGCTACGTGAACTTTAGGGACGAAATTCCGTTACAAATATATTAATTTTTTGTAGTGTATAAGGGTTTGTTTAGTTGTGATATAAAATTGATTTAAAATGAAATTTTAGATTTATGTTTCTGTTTAAATGATATTTTGATGTCATATTTTAATTTGTGAAAAAAATAGTATATTTTTATTAAAAATTGAATAAATAGTTGTATTGATTTTGATTTAAATAATAAAAGAACAAACCTAAAGGTCATCCCAATTCCACTAAAAAATATATTGTTTTTAGATTTAATTTTTGAATTTGAATTTTTAATATTAAAATTTTAAATTTGAATATTTGTTATTTTAGATATAGATATTGATGTTATATTTTGAATGTAAAAATATTTTTTAATATAATATAATATAAAAAATAAAAAATAATTATTTGATTGAATATTTTTGCATGTAAAAAAATCAAATTTAATAATAAAAATCTTATAAAAAAATCCACTGAACACAAACTAATAATTAAGAAATGCCTTTTTCGGTTGAGTATATATAAATAATGTGAGAGCAGCAGGAAAGTGCATTCCATTAATTCATTCTGAACAAATTTTAACCAACGATGACTAGAGTATGTTTCCTTTTTACAGGTTTCAAAACAATTTGATTTATATTTGATATTAAAATAATAGATGTTTTTGTAATAAACAAAAATATATATTTTAATAAGAGAAATTAAGGTGTGTTTGTTTGTGGATTTTAGCATTTTTATTTGGATTTTTTAATAATAAAAAATTAAATTTGAATAATTGTTTGATGCTATATAAATAGAAATTGATGTAATGTTTTAAATGTAAAATAAATTTATAGTATAATATAAAATAAAAAAAAATTATTTAATATGATATTTTTAGAGAGAAAAAAAAATCGAATAGTAAAAACTGTGGTAAAATTTACAAAAGGACAGAACCCTCAAGTTTTAAGCAAAAAACCAAACCATAGATAATATGTATATGTGTGTGTGATTAGTAATTCATATAAAAACTGTGAGTGATGCTAGATATCTAAAAGTATCAAAATTGATATGGATGGATGAGGTTGAATATGCTATATATATAAAATTAAATTATTTTTTTAGAATCAAGCAACTAGGAAATGTGTGGAATGTGGTAATTTGATGGATGAATATGTAAGTGGGCTTGAAATGCAGATGAAAGAGCTTTGAGAATGAAGTTAGAGAGAGAGAGAGAGAGAGAGGAATGGGGATGGGGATGGGGATGGGGAATGGCACCAAGAAGAAAAACCAAAAAGAATAAAAAAGAGATCAAATGGCAATGATGATGAATCTTGGGAGGAAATCTCTCACTCTCTCATTCTCACCAGCAGTGAAAAGACATGATTAGTTGTAATAATTGATGATAGGAGGGCCCCTTTGACTTTTGTCAGCAAAAAAGCTTATTACCTTTTCCACTCCTTTATAATTAATTAAGATAACTAACACACTTATATACTCCATAATAGTACTGTGCTCATTCATTCATTCATTAAACAACCCCACCCCACCCCACCCCACCCCTCTCTCATACCAATAACTGTATATCATATCGCTGGATCCAACAAAATAACAATCCATTTATACACTGCTTGCTTGCTTGCTTTGCTGTAGTATTATTGTACATATAATTGTGTGCATATAATAATAACAGTATATAACATCTCAGAATATATATAAATATAAATGTATATGATAGATATATATCTCTCTCTCTTCAATTGCACACAATTAATTGATCGATCCATGTTTGCTTTGTTTGGCAACATTAATATTGGTGGGGTAACCCCTCCTGTTTCCTCATCATTTACCCATCCATCTCACTCCACAACACTAGCCATTGATGAAGCAATTTCAATTTCAATTTCAATTTCAATTTCAATTTCATCTCTCTCTCTCTCTCTCTATATATATATATATATATATAAATATTTGTGTGTTTGTGTGCGTCTCATTGTGAGGGCGCTAATGTCTGCACTTTTTGTACCATTCATTAATTAGTTGGAGTAAATGGTTCAATCAATTGCTTATTGTGATTGTGTAAAACAATCAGAGATCGATCATCGTATATTAATCTACTCAATCTACTGCATCTGAATCTGAATCGGAATCTGCATCATGTACGTATGAAATTATATATAAACAAATTGAAGAGAGTGCAATGCAATTCAATTCACATTGATCGTTCCTACAACATCACCTGTAGTTTTTCTAATACGTATGTATAGTTGAATTATACAGTTAGCTAGCTACTTTTGGGATTAATTGAAGATACCTGGTTTGGATTTTATGTTCAGATTTTGAATAATAAAAATTTCAAAATTAAAACAATGATATAATATAATATACATGTACTATTTTGAATTTAAAAATATTTCTTAATAGAATATAATCATAGAAAAAATATGTGTGTATGATTTTGATGTCTTTTTAGGGAATTTAAAATATTGGTAAATTAATTCATTGTAAAAATCTTAAAAACATCATCCAAACAAACACAACCTAACTTAACTTGAGAAATGAAAATTGACGCGGATTGGAGTAGCTAGCGGAGTTGATCAGATTTGTCCAAACAATTATGAATTGGTGGTTTGAGATGTCGATCCGTTTTTCATAAGTTTTGGTTTCACATGTCAGCTAACTGTAAATCTAACGAAATTTCGGTTCAAATAAACTTCCAGTACTTTTTAATTATTTAAACTTAAATTATAATTTGAATAGCTTACAAATAATTTTTTTTTTTTTTTTTTTTAATATTTAAAGGAGACTGTTTCATGTGCTGAAAGAAAATTATTTAGTTGGTACTAGTAGTATTTGCTAATATAATACAGATACAATGTATGAACTAAAATAAGATATTTAAAAATAATACCCTCGTAAATGTGAACTTCCAACACATAGCTTTTGTTAAAATATTTTTAGAAAATATATATTGTAGACAAAAAAAATTATGTTATTTTTAATAAACACAAAATTTGTACAAATTATATTTGATTTAAATTTAAAGTAGGTCCTATTATCTAAATGGGTCATTTGATTCTCCTTCAGAGTCGATTTGTTTTCCAACTTAGTTTTCGATGGCTTATTTGATCCGAAGAGGTTTGGTCTTCGGTTTGACTTTTCCGGCTTTTGGAGGGTTATGGTCTCCGTGCGGGCCATTTGATCGTAAGCTTTGGATTTGATGTCTTTTTTTTTTAGACGATCCGAGGCTTTGATCTTTGATTTGGCTTTGCCGCTTTTGGAGGACTTTGGTCTCTG